ATCCAGGCTGCGATAGTGATTTGTCAGCAGATTTTCGCACTTTTGGCGCTATTAATTTTCCTTTTAAAAATCCTTTTAAAAAGTGCTTCAAAATCGTCTTTTTTCTGCTTTGGCGTCGAGATCCGGTTTTGGAGCTGCTATTGCCGACGCTGTTGCGCGTAGTTCTAGTGTGTTTTGCAACTCAGTCTCTGCAGATCGCATGGAAATGGCTGCATGAATGTTGATTGATGCTGCGCAATACTATTGTCTTCTGCAGCTAGATCTCGTAAATGGTATTGGAGTGGCTGCATCCAGGCTGCGATAATGATTTGTCAGCAGATTTTCGCAATTTTGGCGCTCTTAATTTTCCTTTTAAAAATCCTTTTAAAAAGTGCTTCAAAATCGTCTTTTTTCTGCTTTGGCGTCGAGATCCGGTTTTGGAGCTGCTATTGCCAATGCTGTTGCGTGTAGTTCTATTATGTTTTGCAAGTCAGTCTCTGCAGATCGCAATGTAATGGCTGCGTCAAGGTTGCCTCGTGTCGCGGCTGCATGCAGAATACTATTGTCTTTTGCAGCTGAAGATCGTAAATCGTATTGGAGTGGCTGCATCCAGGCTGCGACAGTGATTTGTCAGCAGATTTTCGCAATTTTGGTGCTAGCAATTTTCCTTGTAAAAATCATTTTAAAAAGTGCTTCAAAATCGTCTTTTTGTCGCTTTGGCGTCGAGATCCGGTTTTGGAGCTGCAATTTCCGACGCCGTTGCGCGTAGTTCTATTATGTTTTGCAAGTCAGTCTCTGCAGATCGCAATGTAATGGCTGCGTCAAGGTTGCTTCGTGCCGCGGCTGCATGCATAATACTATTGTCTTTTGCAGCTGAAGATCGTAAATCGTATTGGAGTGGCTGCATCCAGGCTGCGATAGTGATTTGTCAGCAGATTTTCGCAATTTTGGCGCTAGTGATTTCCCTTTTAAAATTTCTTTTTGAAAGTGCTTCAAAATCGTGGTTTTGTTGCTTTGGCGTCGAGATCCGGTCTTGGAGCTGCAATTCCTGTTGTGATAAAACGCTTGCTGTGTGTAAAAGATCTTGTGTGTAAAGGCTTGCTGTGTGTAAAAGCTTCTGTTTGTAAAAGCGTCTCAGTGTAAAAGTTTCTGTGTGTGTAAACGGTTGCCATGTGTAAAAGCACTGTGTGTAAGTGTCCTGTGTGTAAACGCTTGCTGTGTGTGAAAGCTTGCTGTGTGTAAAAGCTTGCTGTGTGTGAAAGCTTGCTGTGTGTAAACGATTTTGTGTGTAAATGCTTGCTGTGTGGAAAAGCGTCTCTGTGTGTAAAAGCATCTTTGTGCAAAAGTTTCTGTGTGTAAACGCTTGCCATGTGTAAAAGCACTGTGTGTAAGTGTTCTGTGTGTAAACGCCTGTTGTGTGTGAAAGCTTGCTGTGTGTAAAAGCTTCTCTGTGTAAAAGCTTGTTGTGTGTAAAAGCTTCTGTGTGTAAAAGCTTCTCTGTTTAAAAAGTTTGCTGTGTGTAAAAGCTTCTCTGCGAAAGAACTTGCTGTGTGTAAAAGCTTTCTTTGTGCAAGCTTCCTTAAGAAGTAGTGGGAAATACTTTGTGCAAGCTTTGTAGTACAAAGTAGTACTGGGAAGTCCTTTTTGCAAGCTTTGCTGTAGTACAAAGTAGTACTGGGAAGTACTTTTTGCAAGCTTTGTAGTACACAGTAGTACTGGGAAGTAGTTTGTGCAAGCTTTGTAGTACACAGTAGTACTGGGAAGTGCTTTGTGCAAGCTTTGTAGTACAAAGTAGTACTGGGAAGTGGTTTGTGCAAGCTTTGTAGTACAAAATAGTACTGGGAAGTGCTTTGTGCAATCTTTGTAATACAAAGTAGTACTGGAGCGTGTTTTGTGCAAGCTGTGTAGTACAAATTAGTACTGGGAAGTGGTTTTTGCAAGCTTTTGTAGTAGACATCAGTACTGGGAAGTAATTGACATGAAAATAGTCAAGAAGGAATTAGCTGACATATGGGAAGACATGGAATGAGATGAGAAGAGCTCAGATGATATGAGTTGAGATGAAGTGCAAGTGTGAAGTGTGGAGTGTGGGGTGTGAAGAGTGCAATGTGAGGTGTGAGGAAAGTGTTTGCATTGCACCGGGGTCGCGCGCAGGTCATGTTCTTGGACAGCAACACTGCAACAGCTTCGCACAAAGCACGCACGCACGGGCCTGGCTGGCGCACGGCGCATGCAAGTTCCTTAGTAGTAGTACTGGGAAGTGATTCATGAAAGTTTGTATGACATATGAGAAGAGATGATGAGATGAGAAGAAATGAGCTTGGATAAGGTGAGAAGAGCTCAGATGAGATAAAGTGTGGCGTGTGAAGAGTGCAGTGTGAAGTGTGGGGCGTGAAGAGTGCAGTGTGAAGTGTGGAATGTGGAATGTGAAAAAGGCAGTGAGAAGTGAGAAGTGTGGACTGTGAAGTTTCAAGTGTGAAGTGTGAAGTGTGGACTGTGAAGCGTGAAGTGTGGAGTGTGAAGTGGGAAGAGTGCAGTGGGAAGTGTGGAGTGTGAAGTGCGAAGTGGAGCTTCAAATGACATGTGAAAGAGGACACGACTTTCGCAGAGTGCACGCACGCACGGGCTTGGCTGGCGCACGGCGCGTGCAAGTTCTATAGATGAGAAAGGTCTTATATATATCCCTAAAGGCAACTTCCGCCCCGCCTCGTGCGGGTACTACTGGTATGATTTATATGTGATTTGCCATTTGCAAATTTGCACCATCCGTTTTGTTTGGGATTTGCTCCACTTTGTCTTCGCATCTTTTATTTCTTCCCGAGCCACCAGCATTGCCACAGTTTGAAAGCGTCAGTGAGGAGGCCGTGGCACTCACTGTGGCCCGATACAGTGGACCTCATGGAGAGAAGATTGAAGGCGGTTCATGGCGGTTCTGTGGTTTGTCAATTTCAGTTTGGCACTGGCTTTGCACTTTGGTAAGGATTTTTTTGACCCGGTAGCTATGTGCTAGAGATTGAGGTTCTTTGGTGAATCTAGTGGTTCTTTTCTTTTGATGTGTTTGTGACTGCATTTTGCACATCATGTTGCTTGGTCGTCCTACTCCTTTGCCATGCTCATGCTGTTATTGTGGTCCTGGCCCCCCAGCTGCAGGTGGCTTGGAGCCTGACCTGTCCAACTTGACTTTACCTGGCGGCCTCTCTGCTGCTGGTTTGATGGCAGCCTTGGGGGCGCCTGCTGAGTGTCATGGCGTGGAACGCAATCCCTGACTTTAGGTGAAAATAGGTGAAGTGTTTCAATCTGTTTATGTTGCTCCCCATTGGTCCCCCAGATTCACCAACAGCTTCGCTGTTTCCAAGAGACTACGCTAGCAGACGTATTCAAGTGTGGAAGTTCGGACGCATTGCCCGCTGCGCCCGCTGCATGTGTAATCTAAAGCAATGTGCGAGAAAAAATCACACATAGAGGAGTTGGAGGTACTGTTCTTCATTTGTACTCTTGAAGATATCAAAACACTGCGCTGACAATTTGTTTCGGATTGAAACAAACATCCGTGCATAGATAACAAGGGCTGAGGGGATCTGTGGCCAGCTGAGGTTTCAGACTGGTGACTATGCTTCCTTGGATGTCCAAAGTGCCTCCAAGACTGCGCTGGCAAGCTGTCAGTCTGAACGTTAGCTCAGTGGCAAGCTGTTTGCTGCACCATCGCTTGGCTAAAAAAGACGCTTCCTTGAGAAGTCCAGTCCATACTTTCAATTGATTATATTGATTTCATAATAGGCTTGATATATCTGGATGAGGTTGCAAGAACTTGCGACACCCGTATGCTGATTGCACTCTTCCGCTTAGAAATTTGTCTTGTTTCATGGATTTTCCACTGAACTACTACGAAGTTGTTGGTATGTGTTTGCCCATGTTTGCCATTTGCACTTTGGCATGATGTTTGGATCACAAACATATGACTTCAATTGGCATTCCAATCAGCATGGACGTAACATCAAGATGATGTAGGGGTGCAAGAGCATGCATGTTGCACCCTTAGTCAGTGGGAAGGCTGGGCTGGCTTGGCACCAAAGCAATGCTGTATTCCAAGAAGCTCGGTGACTTTTACTTGGTACAGGTTTGTAGGGCATGGAATTGGACGTACTTGTTTTCCAACTGTTCGGAGATAAGATGCTCTGTCTGTCTACGTGAGGAAGGATACATTGACTATGCATGACTATGCACAGTCAGTATTGCACTATCAGCGGAGGTTGATTTGATCGCAGGGGCAAGCCATCTCGAAAGGGAGTGCTAATGACATATTTGACCTTCTGTTTATCTTGCTGGGTCACCCCCTAGCTTTGGTTTGCCAGGCCATGTTCGTTCAAGTACGAAGTTTTACTCATTCTGAATGTGCCACTAAGACCTAAGCAGTAAGCATGAGGTCTTGACAATGGCCTCGACACTATTTGCGGACTGCGATCTTTGCATCATGCCTAGCGTAGTGGGAAGCTACAAAGCCACCCTTTGGTAAAGCCTTTGGAGGAGTATTTTGAACAGCTGCCAAGACAAAGTGGTAGATTTGTGTTGAAGTTTTGACAGAAGTCAGGGAAGACTCATTGATTCAATCTGATTTGTGGGTTCTTGTCTTTGTCTTGCGGGATACAGCTGCATGTCATGCTGTAGATGCTTTCCGGAAGTTCACTTTGATGGGATGAAGATCTTGTGGCCCGCCGCCGACCCATAGATTCAGCCTGCTCAAGTGGACTATGTAGGAATGAGCAGGGATTTCGATGGAACTATTGGAATATGTCTAGGAACCCGGACCGGTCGGACCTTTGTAGACAAAGATCGAACACTCAGATCGAGCAACCCTGCAAACACATCTGATGCAAGTAAGAGCGTTTTGTACCTTCACTCCAGCACGGGTTTATTGTAGCTGATTTCTCCACTCCAACATGAACAAGGAACAAGGAAATCAACGGATGAGGCAAGGCCTTCCACCCCACAAACTATTATACTTCAGGCCTGAATCTGAAAGCATGCCACGCCCGCGGCATGATGAAAATCCGCCCTTGGTTTCGCAGTGCTTCCTGCAGTTTGTGGAAGACGAGCCGGACCCGGAGCAACACAACAAGACAATTTTCAAGCAGAGCAAAGAGATCACCAAACGCTTTCCTGGGGCGCCAATTAGCAAGCATCATCGAGCGAAGTATATCTGGCTATGTCAACTTCAGCTTCAGGGTCCGGGGCCTTTCTACACCATGAGCCCTAAGGACATGACAGAGGGACTGGAGCCTTCTGAGGATCTCTCCCAGAACCACTGCGACATTTGTGGCAGACCTTGTGGGCGCCTTCATGTGTTCCGGGCCTTCAAGCCGTGCACAGGAGTGGCCGGCATGCATCCAGACCGAAGGCAGGCCACCTGAAAGAGAGGATCGGGATTTGGAAAGAACATGCAAGATGGCAAAAAGACAAACATATAGCCAGATTTCACTCAATCGTTGCACAGCTGCCGAAGACAGAAATATTTAGATTGAGTGGGAGTTCGTTGCATAGGTCGTTTTGCGGTGGGTGGAACCTAGGGTTGCCAGGCTACACAGCTTCATCAGCTATGTGTCAAAGGGCTGTGGCAAAGGTTTACTAGGTGAACCTTCACCAAGAGCCGAACTTCGTGCCAAAGTTTTGAAGATTTTGCTTCAGCAGACTCAGACCGAGATCCTTGGAATCAGAATGCTTTTCTTCAAATCCAACCCGTGTAGTTTTAGGTGTTGAAAACGCAGGTCTGGAAGTTCCCAGGGACCGAAATCAGAAATCTCAAATTTCAGGACCCGTTCCGGGACACACCTCCTATTTGTAAACGCATGTGAGCCTAGATTGATTTTCTTTTTGCTGTAGTTAGTTGTGTGTTGCGCTGAGATGCTTCTGGCCAAGGATCTTGGAGCAACTTGCAGACACCTTCGGCCCGAAAGAGATGAAGGGCGTGATTGTTGAGCTGGAACGTTATGCTGGGGTGACTTGATTCCTTTTGCCAGTTTCCCGATGTTTTCCTTTTCTCCCCATGTTTACTGTGATCCAATGTGATCAAGCCTAGGTGAAGAACAACCAAGCTGGCACTGGCAGGTTTGTAGCCGCAGACGCCAAGATAAGGGTTCCAACGGACCGGGCTGCTCGCCCCGAGGATGTGTTGGCCGCCTTGGAATCCTTCAGATGGCCCCTCTGTCATAGCCGGGCAAACGTGCGGCCGGATGGGCAGCTAAAGTTGGAGGCATTTTGCTTGGGAATTGCTAACTCCTACAGTGTTGGCTTGACGTCTTCGAAGATGACCCATGCCATGAAAAATCTGGCCAAACTTGTGGTTGCCTTGGGCAGGCAGTTGCCCGGTCACAGATTCAGCACTGTACAGCTCAACCTGAATTACTCCGCCCGGCTGCATGTAGACGGAAACAATTGCGGCAGCAGTGAGATCCTAGCGACGGGTCGCTTTGGTCAAGGAGGGCTTTGGCTCATGAACCCTGAGGGGAAGAAAGTGGAAGAAGACGACGTGCCGATGACGGTCACTGAGCCCCTGAAAGGGTATGATTTCCGACCGCAGGACGTCATCTACGGCCGTGTCCATGACATTAACGGCAAGTGGTTCCACTTTGATGGCCGGATCCCGCATGCAGCAATGCCTTACACTGATGGGCCACGCGTGTCCTTGGTTTTTTTCTGCCGGAAGGGTTGTGACAAGATCAAGGACGCAGATCGTGGCTTGGTGCAAGTTTTCAACAGAGGGACTTCATAAGCACCTCCCCCCAACAGAATCTCCTTTTATGGCTATGGTTCAAAAAATAGAACCCAGGGATGGTAAAACTGCGTTCTCTTGCCCTGCACACTGTTGGGACGGTACCTTGGGGGGAAGACGACTCACATGTGCTACCAGATGTGATGTTGGGGGCTTGGAATGTGCCTGAATTCCCATTGGCGTTGAGTTTTGGGGCAGCAGGGTTGTATTGGATAGAAGGGACTGTAATATTTTGTCCATTTACGGCAGGGGCCCTGCTGCTTAACTGGCCCACTGGGCTCTTATTGAATGTACAGCTTTGGCAAACTGGGCCATCTTTATCCTTCAGTGTTCCCCCGTTGGATGTCCACTGGGCTCTTGTTGAATCTACGGCTTTGGCAAACTGGGCCATCTTTATCCTTCAGTGTTCCCCCGTTGGATGTGTTGTCCTATCATTGGTTGAAAGGGCATTGCTTGAAATTCTTCATATGTGCTGTTGCGACTGGTGTATGCTCAATGCCTTGTTGAAACCCACCTGTTTTCATATTTTCAACCACACTGCGCACCTCCGGAGACGACCTTGTGCCCAGGGGCCTTGCTGGAAGAACTTGGGTTCCCCTTGCCAGACTCCGAATGGCTGCAGCAGCAGGACACTGAGTTTCATCAAACACATCCTGCTTTCAAGAGACGTCGGGTGGACAGCTTGCGACGCGAATCAGTGGAAGAAGTTGCAACTCGGCAAAAACAGGACTTGGATGTGGGAAATGGTACGCTTGTATTGTATTGTTTCCAACCTGTACTGCAAACTTCAGTCTCAATCCTGCCAACTCAGATACCGGGGTATCGTCCCATCCGAAGCTATGTTTGTTATTGTTGTTTCCTTTGACCATAAAAGTAAAAACATCTAGGGCGGCTTTCGTTGGAACCTTCACCTCGGCCCCAAAGTCAAAAAGTGTTCCTTTTTCTGAACATGCCTAAAGTGGATGTTTTTTGAACGAAAGACACCATTTTGGTCACCAGGATTCGGAGGAGGAAGTGGACGAAGAAGAGGCAGACGTTAACGACTTTCCTGGTTCCCGCGAAAGTTCCAGTGAATTGCAAGAACTGAAGTCGAAAGCCCAGGCTTTGCTGGAGTGCTTGGAGGAAAACCGAAGTGCCTTCAGCAACTTCAGTGTGGCTGGTGAGAAATTGACTTGGGAGGAGCGTGGTCGCAAATTGCGGTGCTATGCCCAGCAGTTATGCCCTATTCCATGTGACACTGCCATGGAGTGGATGATTGAGGCCGCTGGTGACAAACCTTCCAAACTTGGCACTGACATAATTGAGGCTGGCATCGAGTACTTAAATGTTTGCTTGGATGAGTGCCGCAAGTCTTCCCAAAAACCTGGCATTGACCGCAAATTGACACGTTTTCTGGAGAACTTTGCAGCTTTGCAACAAGCCATTGAAAACACTGGCCTCAATGTGCCGGGATTGGGCAAACTGGTGTCGGATTCCACTGCATGGAATTTGCGGCGGAGCTGCAAAGCCGTTCCAGCGAAAACATTTGGAGCCCGCTCACCAGCACGGGCGGCTGAAATGCTGCAGCAGCTAAGCCACCCTGATGATCAGAAGTTCGTTCTACACCGGCTGGCCACGGTAGCGATGAGCTTAGTTGCCACAGGTTTGGTTGGATGTATTGTTAAAGATTTGTTTTGATGGTGCAGTGGGAATGGAACGCAGGACTGTTGCCCCCCGTGCATCGCTTTTGTTTTTAATTTTTTCGTGGGCTTGGAGCACGGAGCACATCAAATTTGGCAATCAGGTGATGGATACCGCGGAGATTCAAGAGTTCATCAGTGCCGGGGGATTGACGGCGTTGATGGTTCTGGCAGGCGAATTTCTCCAATCCAATCCTCCTGAAGGTGTTGTGAAGGACCCGGGCCAACATGAAGACTCAATGTGTATCCTTGGGGGCCTCTTTTTGAAAATAGATGTCAGGATATCGTGTGGTCGTTTGGTTTCAAGTTGTATCAAGTTGTAAACCGTCGTACACCTTCTGTGATTTGCCACGGATGCAGGATAGCGCAATGAGATTGCGGGTCATGGACAAGTTCCAGAAGGGCATAGCCCATGCGAAGATGTGGTTGGAGGCACTGCTAGTGAAAACTGTATTCATTCTTTGTGGACATGAAGGCAGCAGGGGAACTAGTTGGGAATTGAATGTGGCCCCTACATCATTTTCACCAGCCCCATCTGCATCATTCCATGAATGGGCGCCCCATTTCAATTTCAAGGGATGGTTCTCTCGTGAAAAGACATACTGGTAGTAGAACGAGATTTATATTGGTTTTGATAATTTGTCGTTGTTTTTTCTAATGCTTTTTTAAATGATGGATTTCCCGTTTCAAGGCCCATGCCCTATCACTTCTCAGGAACCCGTTGGAGAGCCTGGCGCTCGCTTGGAGAAACTTTCGACTTTGCAGCAAAGTTTTAACCCACTCCTTGAGGAGCGTGACTCGCTGCAGGCAAAGGTGCTCAAACGACGAGGGGCCGAGATGTGGAGGAGGACGCAACTTCATGTTTTGCTTCTTGAGAAACCACCTTGGAGCAGGCATGTGGAACCTCTCAAAAACATTCAAAAATTCAAAAACGGTTTCCAAATTATTTGTACTCCCACGTGGCATTGAAAATTGATAGTTGTGCTTGGCTAGTCGTACCAAGACACCCCGGGTTTGGAGTCATGAGTTGGATTGGCAGTGCTGTTGGTACTTGAATAGCTGTACTGCCGATATCCAAGTGATCTGAAAGAGGTATGAAGGGGGCCACACCAAGATAAATCAATTATTGTAGGGGGTGAAGCAGCGAGGGTGATCATTTCGCAGACCATTGGTTCAACATGAACGAGGAATTTACCGGATAAATGGTTTTGGAAAAAATATTTGCAGGCTGCCCGGTTCTGCAGGATCCATGAGCTGGAAAATGAAGGTTGGAATGCGCTCCTGGAGCGCCTCGCATCATTGGCCTGCCAATTGAGAGAGCAACGAAGCTGTCAGGACCTAGGGGAAGAGTGCTGGGGGTGGTAAAGCATGCTTCATTTCTGAAACGTGGCTAGGAGTGAGGTGATTTAGACTCTATGTGTGGTCGCAGTCATCACTTTGGGGTTGTTCCCAACAGCGCATCTGTTGGGTTTCGATCTCCGGGGCCGGGGACTGCACGAAATTGCACACCCCGAAAAACTGGAACAGTCCTGGAACAGTCCTGGAACCTTTTGCTGTTGGGTTGCAAAGCTGGGCTAATACAGGTTTTGGAGGAAGAACTTGATTGCAATGGGGGGGACTGGTTTTTAAATATCCTCCGTGGAGCTTGTTGAATGCCTCCTGTGTGTTTGTTCCTTGACGGGCCAGGTTGTGCAGTTGGGTGCATCATATTTTCAGTGCTTCTGAGTGCTCATATTGGTAACGAAGACATAAGGATTCCTTGTGTCAGAGTTTGAAGACATGAGAAGGGCTGTGTAGGCTTCAGGGAGCCTGTTTCAAGGTATTCGCAGAGGTTGGCTGGAGATACATTTTTGACGTTTGAAACAGAAGTCGCGTCCTTTGCCCTTCAGGCACGTGTTGCCAGAATTGCGGTTTCATCCAGACGTAAGGAATCCTTTGTTTGCACAGGCCCCTGCGAAAGTTCATAGCTGACTGCTTTGTTTGTGAGATTTTAAATGGAAAAATATGATATGGGTGGCTTTGAACGTGATGTTTAGCATGGTCAGTGCAAACCGAAGATCAGTTCGTATAGCCGGGAAAAGAAACGCATGTAGATATAAGGCCCCACCAGTGTTGGCCGGATTGATTGACCATTTTTTTCAACAGATGTAGCAAACATTTTTTTTGTTTTGCCTTGATTCGGATAGATTTTGTTGCAATCACGTGCTGGGCACTTGGGCCTGAACTTATTTGTTTGTTTCCGCCAGATGTTCATGAAAGACTTCCCTGCAGTTGTCAGTTGTCCGATGTTCTGCGTCAGTGAGATGTACATTTGCTCCAGGAGCAGCTGGCGAGCGCAAATCTGGCTTCCAGCGCAGCCGAGGTTGTTCGGTCCCTGCTGAGGTGTGGAGGAAGGCATTTGCAAGCAACTTTGTCTCTGAATTAAACAAAGGAACGTCCAAGAAGTGGGTACTGCCGACCCAGTCGGTTCTGGCCTAGAATGTGGAGTTGATTTTTTGGGAAATGAGGGAAAAATTGAAGAGTTTTGGTTCAGCTCTCTTGTTTCCCTTTCTGGCCGTGAGTCCAGGAATGCCATCTTGATTTAGCCAGGCAGTCTTGAGGTCAGAGTCGTCAGGGACACAAAGCCCAAGTTCCTTGACTAAGTCATGCGCGTTGTAAGAACAAGATTCCCAAAGAGGCAGTCCATAGAGCACATTTCCACTAAGGCTGCTGAACAAACACTTTGCTGCAGACTTTGCTACCAACACAGAACTTTCCCACAGCTACCAAGCACCGGTCTTCGGAAGACAGGCTTATCAAATACCAACGCCAGATCCCCAATGACAAGGTTCCTAAAAATAGCAGATTCCGAATTACTCATTAAATATAAAGTTCGCCAGCAAAGGGCTCCCAAAGACAAAGTGTCCAAGCGTAAGGCTTCCAACACAAGGTTTTAACTGCGAGGACAGCCATGCACGTTTGCTGTTACGAGCGTTCAGTGGACCAATTTTTCCTGGAATCTGAAGGCTGTTAAGAATGTTAGAGATGCAACAACAGCATCTCATTGGAAAGTTTGGGTAACATTGTTGTTGAATCATGATGTGGCCAGCAAAGGGACTTAAGTCTGAGACGTCTCAAGTAACGATTGAATTGTGTTTTGAGGTTCTCGTGCGCACCCAGGCGGTTCTTGATTTGTAAGATAGGTTACAGTTCTCTGCTCCGTCAATTCAATGAAACAGGTTCCACTTCCTATCCAACCTCTTCTCCTACATGTTCTCGGCTCTGCAGCTATCTTTGATTTCCAGGGCTACTCCTAGAGTCAAATCAAAGACTAAAACTAAACTAAAACCCAGCTTGGCGTATGGAGGCGAGGTTTAATTCGGTGAGGTTTTGCTGGCCCAGGCAGCGGCTTGTTGATACCAGCCCCGATGGCTTCGATCAGCTGCGGCGAGAAGCGCGAAAACTCGTAACAGCAAGCGCCTCAGGTTGCCTCACAGCAGATTCGAAGGAGTTTTAGGCATGTGGTAAACCCAAGCACATTCGATGGCCTAGAATTGAATCACTGCAAGTGGTCACACTTGGTGTGCTGTTGTGCTGAGCATGACTCTGATTGGATTTGCACAAAGTTGGTTTTCTCTGCTGAACGGCTTACGAAAGAAAGATCACAGGAAGGCAGTTTGACAGCGTTGCCACCAATTTTCACCCTTGTATTGGCTTGGTTCCTGCAGGCCATTGCAGATTGTCAGAGCAGAGGCGGGTGTACAAAAGAAACCCCCAACATGTGAAGCTTCTAGCCAAAAGAAACAAAAGCATGAAGACAAACATACTTTGCGAAAGCCACTATAAGGACAGTTACTCAGTTCGTTTTAGTTGCTTTGCAGTATCATGTCCAACCGCTCTTTGCATTCGGTTTTCAGCAAGCCGCACCTTGCCACAGGGCTCTCGCTGGACGATCTGCAAATGGCCTTGGATGAAGCTGCTGAAGCGGGCGCGCATTTTTGCGAAACTCCTGGGCGACGCCATGCTGCCAAGTCCTGGCTACAGAGGAATGGATTTCCTCCGCAGGTGGTGGAATTGCTGGATAGCATGCTGGAGATTCGGAAGAATTCAGGGTGTGAGCCCTTTTTTGTTTTGGATTTTCAAACTACCTCTTTTGGAAATGAAGTATGGGACAAGCGTTTCCCTTTGACGGCCCAAGGCCTAGCCCATTATTCTCGTGAGACCTTTAAAGATGTTTTTGCGCCAATTTGTTTTGCGATGATGAAAAGAATCACTTTGTTTGGTGGCCCTGAAGCTGCTGTCAGGATCGGTTGCCAGAGATTCGCGATGATCAAACGGTCTTGCATGATCTTTGCTTACCGCGAAGGGCTGAGAATCAACTCGTTGAGGCTGCAAAGAATGGAGAGTTGGATCCGTTATTGGGTCGGCCTTCGCTACCACCTGGCTATGAACGGCGGAGATCCAAAACCACTGGCCTTTACCTCCTGGAGCCGCAAGGGGGAGGAAACCCGCACTTCTATTGGAGTGATGCGTTGAAGACTGCGTTGCCTGCCCACCATGGCGCTGAAGATCTGGACCTACCACATCCGCTTCTTGAAGCAGACGCCAAAGTGGAAGGTTCGCATCCGCATCCATATTTGGTCACTGCTGGCCTTGGGAACTGGTGCAGACTCTGTCAGGAGACTGCTGGAGAGAATCATGCAGCATCCGAAAAGCATTGCGCCTTGAAGTCCTTGTGGCATCGCTGTGTCGCTGTCCTGCGCTCCATGTGCGAATGGTGTCACTTGATACCCACGGAGGTCGGACATCGTGATGGTTGGTGTAATAAGTCCTTGGCTAAATTTCTTTTATTCACCGCTTGTATCCAATAAATACACGCTCATCTTGACCCTCTTTGCAGGTTGAAAATGATGAACAAGTTCTAGCAGCATGGCGTGCAGAGATCTTACTCGAGATGCAAGATCTGCAAGGCCGTTCAGATCCGGAGGATGAACTGCAAGTCTTGTCCCTTTTTTGGCACTTGGTCCGGAAGCAGTGGCCCAGCAAGTGGCCTGACATGCTGGGGGCTTTGAAGAGCTTGTTGTCTGCGGTGGCGGTGGAAGAACCCGATTTGGTTTCGCATATGGCACCACCGGAGCTTGGTGAAGACCTTCCTTGCTTTCCACCGATCAGGCACCCGCTGAACAAGGAGTCGACCGTTGCAGACCTATCCAAATTCACGGTGCTTGAGCTGCTGGTTCGTGGACTGGAACTGCAAGAGTCAGGTGTGTTTCGATGTTGGTACTGTGAAGTGGATGTTTCAGTGGAAAAACTGCCCGACCACATCCTTCCTTGCCGCCAGAAAAAGAAGGGGAACCATGACAGCATGCAGCAACAATGGGACGCCCACGCTTCCTTTATCAAAGCGAATGGATGGACACTCCAGGGCCTGTGCGAGGTGAGAGGTCGACAAGTCTTCTGCGGGTGCTGCCCGGATCGTGAAATAAGTCAGGGGATAGAGGCGCGAAGGCCAAAAACTTCCAACAGTCTATGTTCAACCAACGGGGTTTGTGAAAACCTGAACTGACCAGAAAGAAAAATCTTGTGACTTGTGACTATTCTTTCCAATGACGATGTCAGGAGCATCTTGGTACAGGAAACCATCAGAACTTTGCCAAGCACCTTCCCAAGCCTTCTGCACACGTGGAGGAGAGGCGCAGAATGATTTGGATGGCGGCTGTGGAAGCCGCCGAGACGAAACAAATGAAGATGGCCTGCCAGCGGCAGGAAGCTCTGGCGAAAAGTTTGGACTTGAAATTGGTCTCCACAAGTGACGAGGCCAGGTATTTCCCAAGAACTGTTTCCCTTCCATGCCTGTTGCCTCTTGAATCAGTTTCCTTTCTTCTGTAAGTTTGCAAATGCATCCGACATGGGCCTGTGTGTATCCACTTGCTTGTCAACTCCCCTAGCAATGCTTTCAGGAACCAACGGTTGCAGACAGGCAGAAGGCCCAAGCTGCGGCAGATGGAAGGGGTTGCCCTAAGCTCCCAGCCCCGTTGTGTTGGGGTTACAAGGGCACCAAGAAGAAGGACAGTGGCTAGTTGGAAGAAAGGTGGTGGTTCAAATGTATTTTTTTTCAAGATCGCATGCAATTTTAACCGGTTTAAGTTGGGGGCAAGTTCAATGAGGAAAAACCCAAACGGCGCAGGAAATCTACGTATGGTGCTGTGAATGCAAAACCTACTGTGGATGGGTTTTGTTTAACATGCAACATGGGCACAACCAGACGGGCAACTGTGGCCAGTGTACACATTGGGCCAACGCCGCGTACGCAGAAAAGATGACGTCTGAGCTGAAGGCGGCTAGATGGAACCAATGAGCAGCTGGTCTTTGACAATTTTAAAATCGTGTTTTTTTGGCAGAATTTTCATGGTGGCCTCCGAGTCAGACAGCAGTGAGCATTTTCGTAGTGTTTTGCTGTTTGTTTGCGGGAGCAAGATCGTGAGCCCGTGTGGCAAAGGGAAGTTGCTCTGAGGAGACAGATCATACTGGCAATGGACGATAAAACTGCATATAATATCCGAAGAAGACTCGTGATGTGGAAACGTGATTGACACGACAACGATGATCATTGCAACTTTCAGTCCAGGCTTTCTTCCACAAGTTTTTGCAATCGGAACGATGAGACACCATGGTTTTTCCTTATACAGTGGTTGGCAATCAATATTCTGAATACCAACACTTTCAAAACGGTGGTGTTTGACGCTCAAAGCTGCCTGTTGCCACTTTCGTTTCTGCTGCAGTTGACAAAGGCCGTGCTTTGTGCCCCAGACAAATGGCTCAAAAGAGACAGGCTGGGGATCATGCGTGCCCCATATGAAATCGTGGTCATGTTTTTCGATGTAGAATGATCCAAATGCCTGCTTGTTTTTTTTTGAAAAACCACATGCAACATGTTTACTGCATGATCATACATGGGGATGACTTGTATGTATACCTATTTACAAAGCCGAAGAAACTGGGACACCTTGACTATTGTGTTCGGTGCTGTTTGGGCACCGTGCGCAATTGAACAACAATCCCACAGCTGGACACAACTCTTCAAAACACACACATTTCCAAAACGATCGCCATCGAATATGGAGGTGCGATTTGGGACGTTGTGTGTGACGAACTTTCATGTTGTTTGTGCAGGAGATACAACATTTTTGGTAGTTGATAATCCACATGATCCAAGATCTCAAGGCCCTGCTCTTTGCCTCTCCCTTTCTCTCCTCAACATACAGTACCGTTTATATTTTTACAATTATATAAATTATATATATATTATAATATATAATATGCATTTGCTGATGTTTTTTTTTCTAACATCTTGTGACGATGGACATTCCGATACCACAGACATGCGCTGTTTTTTTTTTCGCACTTGGAAGTCTTGTTTTCGGAACCGGTCACTGAAGTTGATACTCAAATATCTTTCACAGAAAGGATAAACAACTTGTTTGCCGACAGGCTGATGCTTCGCAAAGGCAGGAGGTGTTTGATTAAACAAATGTCATGAAACGAGAAGAGCGCGAAAAAAACGCCGAAGGTCTGCTTTGATTGTTAATCTTGAGCCATGCAAGGCTCATCAACAGGCAATGGCAGAGCAGTGCAAAGGTTTCCAAATACACTTGCGAGTGCCACAGACATGTCCTTCCAAAACAGAAATGGTTGATGTGCCAGGAGCAAAGGCCTGTCTGGGCTTGGTGCTGTGACAAGTTTCTTTTTATTTTTTTTCCCGGTTGCGAGACCAATGCGATTCAAGAATCTACACCTGGGGAAAAAACGGTATGAATCATCGAGTTTTTTTAAATCGAAAGCGTTGCTATATCGCCATGCAGTTCCGAAAAGACTCTGCGGAAAAGCTGTTGCAGTTTCACTTCACCATGGAATTCGACAATTGATGACAACTGCAACAGCTTTTCGCTGATGACATCTATCCAAATCTATCCACTGATGACAACTGATGGATCGCGTGAGCCCGCAGCAAACTGTGCGTTTGCGATACAGAGGTGGCTTGTCCCGAGAGGAGATGGGCAATGGGCAATGGGTCGATCTGTGGCAATGGGGAGTGAAATCAATGAGGGCAGGAGACCAAACCCTTGGCTTTGTTGGAGTAAAGTTTGGGCTATTTTCTCCAATCTCTTGGATTTTTTGGACATTCTTCTGACACCTGCAGGATTTCACCTTTGGTAGTCTTCTAGGAGAGGCTTGTGCAACCTTCCGGCTCACAGGGTTGGGGAGGTTGCAAGATGTGAGCACATCGAATTTCCTTTTTCGAGAGCAATTTATCGAGACTGTGCTCCCTCCTTGTGGGACCTTATTGTATCTGGAACGATTTTGTATAGCCATTGGAATTGTATCAAGGACCGCTTTGATCGTTTTGATCTGGCCTGAACCTGGACCTAGATGTTGCCCAGCCGATGTGAATTTTGCCACCATCCGCCAGGGAGCTTTCGCAAGAGTGCTTGTGGCTAGACATCACGATGGTGGTACCTTGGCGGCACTGACAGACTGCAGATCCTCAGAGTCTCTAGATGTCTGAAGTATGTTGGCATCAAGCAGATCCCTGTTGTGAGGATATCTGTGAAGTAGGCTTTATGCCGGTGGCGATGGTTGGCAATGTGAAATAACATGACCTGTTCATCCGCTTCATTCTTTGTGTTTGGTTGCCTGTCACCTTTGCAGGTGAATATGCCATCAAGATGGTAGACAAGAAGACGATTCAGGCTGATGCACATGCTACCAGAAACCCTGTGGAGGGCAGCGCTTCTAGGACATCATGAAAGTTGACCCAACAGTAATAGAGTAGAAAGTTCTGTTACCTGTCAAAGATGAAAGTTGGATCATGTTTCAACATGTTTCAACTTTTTGTTGAAGCTCTTGAAGCAGTGTCCATTCCATTCCACATCCGGAGGTTCGAGATCGCAGCAGTGGTGTCCTCACCGAACGCACCATGCTGTTGAACTTGGACCACCCTGGGATTGTGGCCTGGCCATAACAGCTGGGGAATCACCGAATCACCCAAATCTACCAGGGAAAGTGATGGAATGTCCATACTAGATCTTGACACATACCTTGCAAGAACATCGAAGAACATCTTCGTTACATTTCTCAAGACTTACCATTTGAATACTTTCGACTTTCGAGGTTGCACAGCCGCTCCTAAAACGGTTTCTTCGGAGCACCGGACATGTCAGAATGAGCCCCGAATGCACACTTGCGCACATGCCCCTAAAATCATTTCACTGCCTTCAGTCTGTCGAAGCTGCTGGATTCCTCCCACTGCATGTGGGATGCTCCCATTTCAGCGGCAAGGTGCGCCTGCATTTCGCCTTCCAGGCACAGATCAAAACAGGGGCACCCGATTTCATCACCTGGGTCACCTTGGTAATCAAAGGAGTACGAAATCCATCCGCAAGTAGTTTTTGGGGCCTGAATGGGGACAAATGGAGAGATGTTGATGTCACTTGATGTCACCACAGGACGACTGGGCCCTGTACTTTGGTTTGGAGTTGGCAGGGACGCCAAGTGATGTTGTGTCCTTGGAATTGCTGTGAAAATCTGTTCATGGAAACGGGGTCTTTGGTTTCTGGCTTCCATCTTGGAGTCTTCTACTTTTCTTGACGGTATGACTGGCAACACCGGCACGTGGTGGACAAGCTAAACAATGTAGCACGGAACCAATGGATGCAATCTACTGATGGTGAACATCTCGGCAAGCTGTCCTCAACCAACATGTCACATGTCCGAATGATGTCCAGATCGTCAGGTACCGGGGGGTGAGCTCGCGTCGCAAATCCAGCGGATGGGTGCAACCACTGATTGATTGACTCGGTGACTTTCTGCATTTTGATGCCATTCACAGCCGCTATTGCCAGGTCGCTGCACAACGTCTTTCACTTGCTTCTACATTGCGGAGATTGTGTCAATTTTGGGGTCCGCGCTCCAGTGAAAGCTGCTCAAAGTTACAACTTGTTCAAATTGATGGGGCGAGCCTGTGTTTTTTTCATTGACTTTGTTTAGATGTTTGGTATTTTTAATGTGCTGCAATCCCAATGAATTAAAGGTGTTTACAGTACATGTAACTGAGATTCAGGGCAAGTGTACGATCCAAAATTTGGTCCTTGTGGAGTTGTGGCTTCGTTGAACTCCCATGTTGAAATCCCTTGAACCAATCTTCGCCAAGCAGATTCCAGTGAGTGCCACCGGCAGGTACTTACGCTCCAAACGGGTGGCCCATCGCGACCTGAAACCCGAGAATTTGCTCCTCACCTCCGAAGGACGTTTGAAGCTCGTTGACTTCGATGCAGCCATGTATGTGCCCGAGGCCAGAGCCATCGAATGCCAAACAGATGTCTCATGATGTCTCCAACCGGGACGCGTCATCGTGTCATCCCCTAGCCTTGCTGCATTTGACAGGGGGAAGCTGATGCTGCTGCTGGCCAGCCTGAAAATGCAGGCAGGGTGATGCGGTAATCCTGTGATTTCAATGGCTTCGAAGTGCCACCCGTCAACGGGACAAGGTAGGCGGAGTTAGCACATTCATCGTTTGGGTATGAGCCAAGATTTTCATGGATTTTTTTTCAGATTGGGGAGATGAATGTTGTGTAATGACATTGAATATCCATAACAAGCAGCTATTTTGATGTTGACTACAAGGTACCTATTGGGGTGAACAACTGACCGCCATTTGGCAAGGTGCCGCAGTGGACTTTGTGGGGACGGCATTGTGCGGTTGCTCAGTGCTGTGGCTCCAGTATTCACCATTTGGAGGTTTCCTAAAATGGGGGGTACCCTCAAATCATCTATTTTAATAGGATTTTCCATTAAGAACCATTCATTTTGGGGTACCCCCATTTTAGGAAACCTCCACTCTTCTGATGATGATGCTGAATGATCAAGAGCAGAAGAAAATTATGAGCATGAAGATGATGATAACGCGGACCACGGCGATGACGATAGAAGCTGTTGGTCATGCTGATCACCATAGTGATTTATGAATGTATCGTTTTTTTTGGAGTTTTCTTGGCCACTTTCGCCAATGTTTTAAGCGATCTGAAAGATAGCATGGTGTCAGGTAGCAATTTTCTCAACGGTGTATGCTTGGAAGCCACAGAAGATGTCAGATGTGGCATGATATGCTTGGAATCATGGTGCAAGTTGCAAGAAGACTTCAATTGCCAGGTATGTTGCCCCAGAAGTGATCTTGGGTACCGTCAAGCCCCACCAGGTGCATCGGACTTTTAACAACAATCAGTGATCACCACAGCGGTTGCGAAGGGACGGACCTTTTTGGCGCTGCCAGGCCTTTGCGTTGGATTTTTGGGCCCTGGG